GTTCTTTACACAGTTCACAGAAAGCTCTCAGAACTTTAGCTTTAGTGTTTTTCTGTGCAGATTATTTCCAGTGATGTAGTCGAGTAGTTTAGAAATATGTTCAGGTTGTGACAGCGGAAATACTTAAGTATGACATATGACATTTTTTGCAAAGTTTTAGTACACAGTTTCTAGTTATTTGCCGAGTTTAATATATTTTTAATACACATTCATAGGCAAAAGTTTGAACACTATGGTTTAAATTACATAAGTCTTGATTTTCTAAGGGTAAATAAGTGAACGCATCCTCTACTGTGAACACTGTTCTGCCCATTTTCAATATATAAATACTATTTATTTACTGAATTTAACACAGCAGAAAAAATAAAGCATATACAAAACATGAAATGTGCCATTACGTTTACACAGGTCAGATTTTATGTTAATTTTTCCACCCAAAAAAAGTGTATGTGTGTTAAAGTGTGTTAAAAAGTGTGTTCACTGTACAGGATGTGTAACTTATTTACATTTAGAGAATCAACAACAACATGGAGTTTGACATGGGGTGTCAAAACTTTTGCACACGTCTGTAAATCATCACAGTTTCACCCCAGAGCGTGTCAAGATAAGAAAAGATGGAGGAAAAAAAAAACAGTATCAAAATCTGCAGTTCAGCTACATGAACACTAGAGGGCGCCGTTGACCATTCAGTGCGAGCTGAAATCTGGTTCTGTAATAAGAAGAAGATTTGGGCCTCTTTATTAACTATACACATTATACAGACCTGCAGACTAGCATTAATAAACCAGTTGAATCTGGCCTTTTACCTGCATTTTACAGCTTTACCTGTGGATCTCATATCAGTATGTAAGTAAAATTAGTACTGTTAAAGGGGAATTCTACCCATGTTTTCAAAATTTCAGCCTAATTCTGTGTTAATAGAAGACAGAAGCCAGTGGTGTCCGAGCTCTGGGCCCCATTGTGGCTTAGGTGGTATTTATAATAAATGAGTCTTCAGATTCATATATGATAACATATTTATTCTGTTAAATGTCTTTATTTATCTGTTTAGGTAAAGTCATGTAGTTGTGCTGCTGCTGAGATATACTTTTGCCTGTGATACGGCACAAAGCTGAATGAAATTAGGAAACGTTCACCAATACTGGCATATCATTAAAGGGCCTGTATCATGAAAACCAGAATTTTATATTTTTTTAATAAAAGAGTTTGATGTAGCATGTAAACACTGAACACTGTCCAAACATGCTGTTCACTCTCGAGTTTATATGTGGAAAAAAGCTGCAAAAACAAATTCATTGTTTCTGTGATGTCACAAAAACAAGCAAATTTGCATATTTCCCCCTATTCAGCCTACAACAGATTAGCCCTGCCCACACACACTGAAGTTATAGGGAGCGTTTCAGGCCAGACTACTTCTTGAGTGAGCCACAGCCAAACAGAACAGAGCTCATTTACATACATCAGTCTTATAGGCACAGTAAGTATGGACCCCTTTTTAAAATATGGGCCCTTTAAATGGTCTATAGACTAACAATATGAAATAGTGTAACTGAATCGATAATAAGCGACTCAGTAGATGCTCAAATGGACTTCACCTAAATAAATTCCGAGACCAAATTATCCAAAAAACCCTGTTTATGCAGTCCAAAATGGCCCACAATAATGATGAAGCATTAGGTTAGGATGGGGCCTGTGCTGAACTCAGTTAATCTGCTGAAATCCTGATGAAAACACAAACCAGGTTCACCTACTTTGTCAAAACAGTGTTTTAAATAGTTCTGTGTGTCTCTGGGCCTCAAATTCACCCTCAGATATACTTAAATAGACTATTTAAAAATGAAGTAATATAAGTTTCTAAGCCAAACTCTTCAGGTAGAAGGTCTGAAGCAGAAACAGTGATGCTCTTTATCATTTGAGGCCTCTTTCAAAGACAAAAGTGTTAAAAAATGAGATGGATTTGTAAGTTTGTGCTCTACAGATTGAGCTAAAACGCAACGGCTCGATGTGAAACTGTAAAAGAGTGAAAAACGCTGCTTTATATTGATGAGGTTTCTGTAATGCCTGCTGCAATGCAGGTCCAAGCTGTCCAATCAGAAGCCGCCTGTCATCGTTTATTAATATTGCAGGTCCGAATCAACCAATCGGAAGCTTCGTAATAGAACCGCATTACCGCCAGTTCGCTGATATCCCTCCGCTGATCGGCGCACTAGTGCCGCAAACAGAGCCACGTGGGTGAAGAAGTAGCTGCACTTTCTGCATATTACGGATTTAGATCAGAGGACTGAGCGCTTAGTTTACGTTTGGGCTAAAATGCGTAACAACAGCAGAAGCTTTTATAGAGTTTATTTAATATTTACAATCTGTGTCTGTTGATTCCGCTGTAGTCCTGCAGGTGGCGGTATATTGCGTTCACAACTCTAAGTGAAAAGAGGCCTACATGGACTTTATCATCCTTTTTAATATTAAATAGCCTCTTACTCATAAAGTGCTTCACAAAGATTAATTTCTATATTATAGTGGTTATATCTTCGGTTAAGCTGAGTAATTAGGTTTCACGTCAAGTAATTTGTATGCGCTATTAGCTTTTAACATACACAGCAAATGCTTTGTGGGGTGATTTAGGCCAATACTGAACCACTATTAGTCAGCATTTCTTAGTATGTGTAGTGTATAGTACTATTTTAGTGCTTATACATCTTAAATTTATACCGTATGATTAATTTTGTTCATAATAGTCAAACCCATTAGCCTGCAAGATGCTCACTGATACAGCTTAGCTTTTAGCTTTAAATGTACACCCATTTGGAAATCTGATATATGGTCTTATACGTACATATATCATTAAGGATCAGGCATATGTTTCAAAATATGTACATAAATGTTGCGTGCATACATGTAAGTATCAAATACTGTACTTCTTAATATCTGGAGTGTACATGTATGTCTGATCAGTGAGTAAACACATACAATGTCTGGAGCCACAGTTACAACTGTTTACTTTTAAATATTAAATGATTGAAATGTTTTAATGAATATTATTTACCGAAACAAAGATCTAAATGCTCTTATTTAAAGAAATATGACAAAAATTAAATGTTTCATATCTGTTGAGGTCTTCACATTCATATCCATGTGTATACAGTCTTATGCAGAAGTTTGAGTAATATGTCATCTATATATGAATAATGTTTTCTATCATATGTAGTTAAATATATGTGTTACACATAGGTGTTTGTATATGTTGATATATGGCTGGAATGTAAGTTACTATACTGGCACATTTTTCTTGATCATCTTACTACAACAATCTCAGAATGTGAAATATTAGATATATCAGCTAGATTTTAGATAACTTCACTTACCAAGAGACCATTTTTTGCAGTGCATGGGCTTTGTGATGTGCTGGTCTCATTAGTGCAGGACTAGGTCATCAACCACATATTTTCCCAAGTAGGATTTCTTATTAAGCTTGATAATGTAAGCCAACAATGAAAACTGTCCAGTTGGACTGCTGTTTGTGGTCTGCTGTTGGACATGGCCTAGCCTTTGGCTTGAGCCATCTAGCTAATATATAATATATGCTGTGGTAGGATGGACACAGGTGAAATAAATACTGCATAATTCCTCTAGAAGCTCAGGCTGTTTCCCTCGGACGGCATAGTGTAGATTGCACAGCTCTGTCTTATTTCTGCTGCTTCCACATTAAGACCTCTTGGCTCTGCTCGTCCCTCTGCACTCTGATTCATTACTAGGCTGCTGCCACACAAAGAGGGCCAGCTACGAGAGGAAAACTCTAACTGTGTTCATATACGAATCTACAAAGCCCTTAAACATACGTACACTCAAATATATGACTATACTATATCAGAGGTGCCAGAATTGTTTGTCTTGGGGGGCCAAAGCACAATGTTTACAGTGGACCAAGAGCCAGAAAGACAAAAAATACACAAATAAAGAAGGTATGGAAAGTTTGTAGATGTTTAATCTATAGCACTGCACTATAATTTGATACAAAAATACAATTTAAGGAAAAAATAGAATTTAATAAGTTATGTACAGTATAAAAATGGATCCTTTGTAAATATATATACATATACACATATATAAACATATATATATGTACTACTTACAATGATATACTCTAACCATGTACTATATATAAATATGTAGACATGTAAGTAGCCATATATATATGTGTGTGTGTGTGTGTGTGTGTGTGTGTGTGTGTGTAAAACAAAACAAAACAAAAAAAAAATCAGAAGAAAACAAAAAAAAACTACTAATGACCTAAACACCTCCTTGCTCCCTATAGAGATCCGCATAGGTCACAAAATAAAAGTCTTCTCTCCATGTTCTGTAGGAGGCATTCAGTGTTGTATGTAGTGTAATAATACATTAAAAAGTAAAAAAAAAAAAAAAGTTCAATTAAAGCACTTTATCCAAAGAAAAACGCTGATTGGTGGCCTTCGTTGCCGCATGATTCGCGGCTAAAATCCGTTAAATCCATTTTTAATTCATTTAAAAGTCAATTAATTTCAGCAGCCATGACAGCAGCTTCCTTCCATTAGGACAATTAACCAGAAATCGAATCGGCGCTCGGCTCAGTTGAGTGGCGGGTGACGTCACGCGACAGCACAGCTCTCATTGGTCAGAAAGGTGGTGGAGGGGGTGGGGCCTACGTGCTCCGTGCGCGAGTTATTTTTATTTATTTATTTCCATTATTTATTTATTTACTTCTCACCCGCACCCGTATTCTGACAAAGCCCCGCCCTCCTGCGCTAGGATTGGCTAGTTGCGCCCTGCCTCTTGCTCCGGGTTCGGTTCTCAAGGTCCCGCCCTTCTGCGCTGGGATTGGCTGACAGTTTGAGGCAGGCTCCTAGTAGCCAATATAAGCACAGGAGGCGGGACACCGGTAGCCAATCGCTGCGCAGGAGGCATGTCCCCGTCTAAATACGGGTGGGAAAGTGGCGGATGAATACATATATCACTCCGCCTCAGCGGCACACGGAGAGAAAAGCAACGCCAGTGGAGCTGCAGAACGCAGACTACGACTCTCACTCACTCCAGCGTCATCCGCTTATAAACCCTCGAACATGGTACGTATATCAATTTTTGTTGCGTTTTTTATCAGTTTGGCATGATTTAAAACGTTTATTTATGGAAGGGCCCAGAAGCCTTTAAAATCTATGCATATCCATGTAACAGATTTCGAAATAATTATTTAAAATACATTCAACGTGTTGGAGCTGCTGTAACAGGAGAAACATCTGGAGCATCAGATAATATTGGTGGACTGGGGTTGTAGAGCACACTGTCATGGGGTCCGCAGGGTTGGATACAGCTTATTTAGGATTATTTGGGTTTAAAAGACACGGTTCTTTAGTAAAGGCAGTGGTTCTATGCAGAACCATGAGTTCCATATAGAACAATTTGCATGCTCAAAGGGTCCTCGGCATGGTGAAATGGTTCTGTAGCGTGATGGAGAATATGGTGTGTGTGATTTTATATAGAACCTATATAGTAAATGCAGTGGTTCTATTTAAAGCCATGAGTTCCATATAGAACCATTTGCATGCTGAAAGGGTTCTCTGCATGGTGAAATGGTTCTTCAGATTGATGGAGAATGTGTTGTATATGATTCTGTAGAGAACCTTTTTGAAAATGGTTCTGTATAGCACCAATATGGTTCTGCTCTTGTCAGGCTTGTAGCTATACAACAGCAGAACCATTTTCGGTGCTGTATAGAACCACATACAACACATTCTACATCAATCTGAAGAGCCATTTCACTATGCAGAGAACCATTTTAGCTTCTATATAGAACTCATGGTTAAAATAGAACCATTCCCTTTACTAAAGAATCCTTGAAGAACCTTCTTTTTTATGTGTGTGGTTCAAAATTTATATTAAACCATTCTGCAGGCAGGACAGACTGCAGAGCGACGCAGCTCTGCTCTTTTTTGAGGCAGGGGTGTTGAGGATGTGTGTCATGGTGCATCATCAGAGAGGGCTTCGCTTGCAGGCCTGATGAATTTGCTCACAGCTGGGTTAATAAATGCATTTAAAATCTAATTTAACATCAATTTCAGGTTTTAAAGTGCTGTAGTGTATATTACGTGCTCTGCATAGGGGTGGTGATGGGTGTGAGAAATAAAGCTTATTTACTTTATTTATTTTGAGGCGATTCAAACGAATTAACATAATTATTTTGTGTCACAAGTGTGCCAGCCTCAGCCAAATATCCCATACCCATCTCTTCTCGGTCCCTGATGTTCCAGAAAACATGAGCAGTACTTGATTTTCATCAAAACCTGTTTAAATTTCTTTTGTCAGGAAGCCCATAGCCCGCACATGCGTCCTTTATTCAATCCCTGTGGCCTCAGAACAGCATCCTGCGAAAAGTCAACCATTCATACATGTTATTTATTAGAGCATCTCTGTGTGGCACGTTTTATCCCTGAGGGAGCAGCATCTGGCAGAGGCCAGCTGTTCTGTAGGCAACACGCCGGCAGACTGATGTAATAGCTCCGCGCAACAAATGCTTGCAGTTATGTATCGGGTCTCTTGTGGATTACGGTGTATGGGCTGACCTACATTAGTACGTGTTCACAGGAGCAGCTTTTCAGGCTCAAAACCATATAAACCCCAGCAAGTTCTGTATGAAGGGGAACTCCACCCATTTTCCACAATTTCAGTACAATTCAGTGGTTGTTGAGATGTAAACAGTGATTCAGAGTGTTTTTATGTGAAATGGTTCAGATTTCTTTACAGTGGTGGTGATGGGAACCAGGGGTTGCCATGACTACAACACAAATATAGACATTTTATTTACTATCCAAAACCACCAGTGAACCTACACGAGTCTTCTGAGTTTTATATGGAATGTTGATGATGGGAAAATAGTGGAAAATCTGAGCACATGTACCCCTCCACTATGAGCTTAGACCAAAACCTTCTCAAGCCTGTTATAAAAAATGTAATAACTTTCTGTGAGGAAGCTTTTAGAGTGGACATCTGGTTCCGTTCACTACCACTATGAACAATTCTGACTTTGTGTAAACACGGACGTTTTGAGTTTCAGTGTTTACAGTCAGGCTGAGGGAAAATACATTGTCAGCTGTGTTCAGTAACCATGTAAATAAGGTATGTTGATGTTTATTTCCAAAACAGACAATTATTATCAAATATATTAACTAGTTAAAGTGTTTTATTCATGTGGGAATATTTGAGTCTTTTTACGTGTACAAATTCAATGCTGCTTGTTTTCTTTGCTCTGTTTTTAGCTGTAGGGACAGATTTGGATTGATGATTATTTATTACTGATTGGTATTGATCGCCTGTGCAGTGAGCCGCTGCTGGTTTTGCTCAGCTCATAAGCTTTCTCACTCACCCTCAGAGAAAATGGGCTATTCGTGCGCAGCGAGGTGTTCAGATCTGCGTGATGTTGCAGTGTATTGAGATGAATCAGCATGTTTCTGAGATCAAAATGGGATGTGAGTGAATTTTGAATGACCCCAAAGTAGGACCGTACAGTGTATCGTTTGTTATTCGCTATTGCGATATTGGCCTCTGCTGCAAAGTAGACCTCTATCCAGTTGCAGTTATTGTACACTGCAAACATCCTGACCAATAACAGGTGGGTGAAGGTGTATTGATACACATATTTTCAGGTTTGATGCTATTTTCTATTCAGAGATGGATTGGATTTGATTTAGGATAATTCGCGTTAAAATTAGGGATGGGTGATATGGTCAAAATATCATGGTACTTACAAAAGACAGTTTCACTATACTCTATATCTATGACAATACTTAGCTTTTATAAGGTTTACTAAGTTGAAACAGGCAAAAATGCTGCCACGTATAAAAAACTACTCATTTTTATTTAGCATTTCATGCTTAATTACAGTAAATCCAATTAAATGTCGCTTACTGTGCTGTCTTTGTAATGAAATCAGAAAATGATGCTCAGAAAAGCACATTGTGACACATGATCATACTAACGATAAATATCATATTGCCCAGCCTTAAATTAAACGTCTTAATTGGACAGAGCTCTAATTATATACCACCCAAATTCAGCTTCTTGTGCAAAATCGTATAAAACTAGCTGTAAACAGCACCGAACTAGTTAGGATGCACCCAGATGCAAAAGCCCCGCCCACTTTACTCTGATAGGCTGCTCCCAGGTGCACTTTTGTACTTTCGGTCATTTACACTAGTTTACAGTGGAAAGACAGTAAAGGAATGTAAGAATGTAAGTGTGTTTATATGCACTTAATAATCCGATAACTGCAGAAAATCAGATTTTGTCAGTAATCCGATCAACGCGTTTACATGCATTTGAGTAATCAGATAATGGGGGAACTCTGGGTTTACGTGAGTCAGGCAGTAATCTGATTTCTGTTTTACAACCAGCCAATAAACTCACAGAAGAAGATGTTACATAAACGTAAAGTAAAACTCAATCTTCATGGCTTTTTTTAAAGACATCGAGTCACTTTACCTGAAAATATGAGCATACATCATGTGGAAGATGAAGATTTTTAAATCCTTCATTTCGTCAAGCATTTTTGGTTTCGGCGTTTCTCCAAAATTGTTTTGCTGCTTCTCATGACAACACTGCCTACTTATTTCCGGCATGGTCGTTTGTTTCCGCACATGCGCAGACTGAAAAATCTGAAAGAAATAAGAGTAACAGTTTACATGCACTGAGAAATCTGACTATTAAGCTAAAATCCAGCTCTCTTCATCAGATTTCTTAATCAGATTTCTAGACCTTACTCCGATCTAAGAAATCAGAGTGTGCTATTTACTTGACAATTTGAATAATCAGATAACTGCAAAAATCTGATTATGATCAGAGTACTGAGTGCATGTAAATGTGCTCACTGTGTTAGAGGTGGGTGATATGGCAAAAATGTAATGTCACAATACTTCAGAAAGTTTTCACAATACACGATATGACATGATGCTTATTTTTTCTATTATCTGAAATGTTAGATCAGGCAAAAAAGACTAATGAGAGAGTAATGCCACATAAAATTTGGAGCAAAAAGATTTTTATTTAATGTTTCACTCACTGTGCTGCACTGAATACAGTTAAACAGGACTGATGATGCTGTGTTTGTAATGAAACAGGCAGTCAGTTGTAGAAGTACTGACGATGTACTCAGTATACTCAGAAAAGCACATTGTAACATTTATCACAATAACAATAAATACTGTTACATTGTCGAGACCTACAGTGCATGTCACTGTAGAACAGTATGTATGTATTTCCACCCCAGTCAGTGATCAAAACTAGTCACCTGGGTGCAGCCTATCAGAGTAAAGTGGGTGGGGATGGGTGGGGCCTCTGATATGGACACAACCCCTTTCAGTTGACTGGGCTTTATATTCTGTAGAGCTTATCAGTTTTAGAGGGGGTTTATTTTGATAGAGGATCAGAGAACCTGATGAGTCTTAATCAAGATTCAACATATTGATTAGCTCAAAAGCAAGTATTGATAATGTATCGGTATAGCTCAACAGCTAGCATTTTTCTCAATAGAACATAAGCTGCCCTTAAACATGTCCATTAAACCTGTAAAAATAAGTCAACACAACAATAATCTGTCTTAAATTCTGTACACTACCATAAAAACATAAATGTACAGTAATATATACAGTATATGTGGTTTTAAATTGCAAGCTGTTTGCTAAAAAGGTATTTTCAAATGTTATTCAGTATTTTAAGATTTCTCTTAACAAGGAGTCACCAAATGATACTTACTTTCAATTTTTGTTAAAGTAAGTTGTAAAAGTAAGATTTAATCTCCACTTTTGAAACATGATGAATTCAGTATGTTCATTTCATTAGAACTTCATTTTTGATGTTCTACAGCTTTCTCAGTCATTTTAGTATCTTCTCCAGCTCTGATCATCATCGTGGACTCATCTAACATCTCTTCTTTCATATTTACAGCTTCATACTGATGATCTGAAAGTTGTGTAGTTGTTCAGGATGAACAGGTTGCAATCATTTATATCGGAGTCAGTAACGTGACTCTGAAGCTGCATGCGGCTGTTTTACTGCCCTGTTGCGGCTCCACAGC